AGGATGGAAGCTGGTTGCAGCAGGAGGCGGAAATCTGGAAGGGAATGGAGGAGGCAGGGATGGAGGAAGTTAGGTCATGGGATTTGGATATGGAATCAACGGATTGGCTTTGCGTTGTGTTTTGACGGTTTTTGCGGTGCACCGTCGGTTTCACGGTTAGCAACCGAAGACCGCCCGGTTAGCTAAATCCCCCAATTCTCCCAACCGACGCCGACACCGCCAGCAGTTTTCGGTTGTCGGTTTCGGTGAATAACCGCCGGTTTCGGTTCGGTGGTCGGTCAAACCGGATAACCGCCAACCGATTATCACCCCTACAAATTGTTCAACACCAATCTAGATTACTCAAGAAAATTGAATCAAATCACAAATTATCCATAAATAACATGTTTAATTGAAAGCTTCTTCCTTTCAATTAAGTTTCTTTACTCTCCACTCCATAACATCAACTTCATTTTACACAATTAAAAAGAAAAAATTAGACATGTCTCCACAAACATAAATAAGATTAGTTGTTTAGAATATTAAATATACCGAAAAAATAAATTATATGAGTGGACGGGTACCCACGGGCCGGGTTTACCTAAACCTAAACCCAACCCAACCCGGTGAATAGTGAACGGGTTTAAACCCAAACCCGGCCCGAAACCCGTCAACACGGATTTTACCCGCGTTGACCGGGTTGGGTCGGATGGATACCCGTGGGTTCGGATTTTGTTGCCATCCCTAGCCGTATAATAGACATACCACAAGACAATGATTGAACTGCTTTGGCTACTACATCAGCAAACCACAATGACATACTTCCTTCGACCTCAAATAAAACTTAGGACTATTATTTTTGTGGACCAAACAATATTATTATGTATGCATTATTTTTATGTTTTGTAAGCAAGTACTCTTTATATGCTTGGATGTGGAAAAAATAAGCCGAGCACTCACGGTGATGGTCGATGAGCGTCAGGGGAAATATTTCCTCTCCTCTCCAACGCGAAGCCATCCTCTCTAGAACCCATATCCATCTCTTGTTCCCTCATCTACCTGATTTTGTCCTCGATCGGCGAACACAGAGGCGGCAGATTATTGAAATAAGTTATAAGGATAAATATCATATTGTTGCAACAAATCTTAAGCTTGCATCTGCTGTGTTATGAGGCAATCCAAGTACCATATCGGTAATACAAGGGAAGGAACCCTTGTATATTAGTGTCCACCAAACTCATTAGTACGAGGCCTTTTGGGAAGGACACCCAAGAGTAAAACCGTGCGGGCTTGACCCAAAGCGGACAATATCGTACTAATTGAGCAGCCCGGTTATGACAAGTGGTATCAGAGCCGCGGTTGGAAATCAGGCTAGGGTTTGCGATTCAGAAGAATGACGTCGGTGAACATGAAGATCGAAAAGTTCACGGGGAAGAACAGTTTCGCTATATGGCAGATCAAGATGCATGCTTTATTAAAACAGCAAGGGCTGTGGGGGCCGCTGTCTGCGAAACAGAAGAAGACAGCGGTCGATGACGATGAGTGGAATACCCTGGAGGAGAAGGCCCACTCGACCATCATGCTATCGTTGTCTGATGATGTCATCATTGAAGTCGCTGCTGAGAAGACTGCCGCGGGCTTGTGGTTGAAACTAGAGAGTCTGTACATGACTAAGTCTCTAACCAACAAGCTGCATCTCAAGCAACGGTTGTTCAGCTTGAGGATGCAAGAAGGTACGCCTTTGAGGGAACAACTTAACTCTATTTTGCTGGATCTGCGTAATATAGATGTTCAAGTTGATGACGAGGATGCTGCCCTAATCCTACTGGTTTCTTTGCCGAGTTCATATGAGAATTTCGTTGATTCTTTTATTGCTGGTAAAGAAAGCGTATCGTTGGAGGATGTCAAGTCTGCTCTTCATACGAGAGAGCTCAGGCATAAGGTGTCTGGATCTGGTACAGGTGGTGAGGCATCGGGTTTGGCTGTTACAGGTGGAAAGGGAAAGAAGAAATTTAGTAAAGGGAATTCGAACAGGAATTCCAAGGGTCCCGGTCCACAGCCAGGTGATGCTTGTCACAACTGTAAGGAAGTGGAGCATTGGAAGCACAACTGTCCCAAGAGAAGAGGGCAACAGAAGAAACAAGGTTCAGTTGCCATGGCAGAAGTGGACAACAGTTCTGAAGACGATCTCGCCTTGGCTGTAGATGAGAAGGCACATCGTGGGGATGTGTGGTTTCTGGATACTGCAGCCTCATACCATATGTCTCCGAACAGGGATTGCTTCACAACCTACGAGCAGATAGATGGTGGTAACGTGGTCATGGCTAATGGAGCTTTCTGCAAGGTTGTTGGAATCGGGTCCATAAAGGTTCGGGCACATGATGGTTCGTTCTGTACCGTGAATGATGTCAGACATGTTCCACGAATGACAAAAAACTTGATCTCCTTGAGTCTACTCGACAGCAAGGGTTTCAGCTTCAAAGGAAAAGGTGGAGTTGTGTATGTCTGCAGAGGTTCAAGGAAGGTGCTGAAGGGCGTGAAGCGTGGGACCTTGTATGCATTATAAGGGTCTGTGTTGTCTGGTTCTGCTGTAGTTGCATCGTCTCAGGTTCATCAGGAAGATATGACCACTCTCTGGAACATGAGACTGGGGCATATGAGTGAACGGGGGATGCAAGTTTTATCGAAGAGGGATCTTCTTTGCGGGCACAAGGTGCAGAATTTGGAATTCTGCGAGCATTGTGTGTTTGGGAAGCTACATCGCAGCAAGTTTCCCAAGAAGGGTATCCACCGGACAAAGGGGATACTGGATTACCTCCACTCCGACTGTTGGGGTCCTTCACGAGTTGAATCCATTGGAGGCAGCAAGTATTTTCTGTCTATTATTGATGATTATTCGAGATTTACTTGGATTTTCATGATGAAGCAGAAAAGTGAGGCTTTCACGAAGTTCAAGCAGTGGAAGACATTAGTGGAGAATCAGACCGGAAAGAAGATCAAAAAGTTGCGAACGGACAATGGTCTGGAGTTCTGCAATTCTGAGTTCAACGAATTTTGCAAGGATGAAGGGATTGCCCGTCATCAGACTGTTAGAGATACACCCCAGCAGAATGGCGTTGCAGAAAAGATGAACCAGACATTGTTGGAGAGAGCACGGTGCATGCTCTCTAATGCTGGACTAGAGAGAAGATTCTGGGCAAAAGTAGTGAACATGGCGTGCTTCCTGATCAACCGTGGACCTCACACAGGTATCGAGTTGAAGACTCCTTATGAGGTGTGGTATGGTAAGCCTGCTGATTACTCTTCACTGAAGTTTTTTGGGTGTCCTGTTTATTATCATGTGGATGAGGGTAAACTAAACCCAAGGGCAAATAAGGGTGTATTTGTGGGTTACGGAGATGGAGTTAAGGGATTTCGAGTCTGGTCACCTTCTGAGAATCGAGTTATACTTAGTAGAAATGTGATATTTGATGAGAAGTCTATGTTTAACCCCATGTTGAAGGTCACTGTTGTTGAAGGTAGCAGGAATGTTGATAAGCAGGTGGAGCTGCAAACTCTCAATGAGAGTGATTTTGAGCACCAAGGTGGAGAAGATCAACATGAGGATGTTTCTACAGAGCCGGAAACTTCAAAGTCCAGTGCAGGAGCTCAGCAGTCTATGACTTCCGGTAGATCGAAGAGAGCGACTGCAGGAGTACCTCCACAGAGGTATGGCTTCGAGGACATGGTGGCGTATTCATTTCAGGTTGCTGAGGAAGTGGATGCAGGAGAGCCACAGTCCTATAGAGAAGCAGTTTCGGGTGGTGAAGCTGATCAGTGGCTTGCCGCAATGGGAGATGAAATGGAATCCCATGACAGGAATCAGACTTGGGAGCTAGTCAAACGACCACAAGGAAGGAAGATTGTTACAAACAAGTGGATCTACAAGAAGAAGGAAGGAATCACTTCTAAAGAGGGCATGAAATTTAAAGCTCGGTTGGTTGCACGAGGCTTCTCGCAGAGGGAAGGAGTTGACTACAATGAGATTTTCTCACCAGTGGTTAGACATACTTCGATCAGAGTGCTACTAGCAATAGTGGCACATTATGACCTGGAGCTCGAGCAGCTAGACGTGAAGACAGCTTTCCTACATGGAGAGTTGGAGGAAGAAATTTACATGACTCGGCCAGAAGGATTCGAGGTTCCGGGAAAAGAAGACTATGTTTGTAATCTGAAGAAGTCCTTGTATGGACTTAAGCAATCTCCGAGGCAGTGGTACAAGAGATTTGACAGTTACATGCTTGAGCTGGGCTACAACAGAAGTCCATATGATTGTTATGTATATCACAGCAAGGCAGAGGATGGTTCGATGATATATCTAGTTCTGTATGTGGATGATATGCTCATAGCTGCGAGGTCAAAGTCTGATATCCAGAAGTTAAAGGGGCTTCTCAGTGCTGAGTTTGAGATGAAGGATTTGGGAGCTGCTCAGAAGATCTTGGGTATGGAGATTTACAGGGACAGGTCGAAGAAGAAGCTTTTCTTGTCACAGAAGAGCTACATCCAGAAGATACTGTCGAGGTTTGGCATGTCTTCAGCAAAACCCTTAAATACTCCTAGTGCTTCAAATGTTCATCTATCCTCAGCGTATGCACCACAGTTGTAGACACCACATTTTGTCCGGAGCAACCATCCTGCTCAAAACTCAAAAGAGTATCCAACTTAAAAAGAAAAGTCAAGTAAAATTTGCTTTATTTAGAATAACATAGTGTGCTGTCACAACCTATACTAATATAATTGTATTCGGTTTACAGTTGGTCTAAAGGTGGTCAAATGGACGAATGGTAGTAATCAATGGTATGGGAAACGTTGATTAGAAGTTTGGATATGGTTTAAAATTGGAGAAGCAAACAAATTGGGCTGGAAGGATCAATTGAATGTTTGAGCAATACATGCAATGATCATCTATTTCTGAAGGCAATAACATAAATAAATAAATAAATAAATGTGTAACTACAAATTACAATTTATAAACTTTAAGATACACTTAGTAATTATACATTGAAAAAAAGAAAACTATCAGAAACAAACCCACACCAGCAGCCCAATTCTCAAACCATAAACCCAATCCAGGCCCATAATTTTCGGCCCAGTCCACAAGTCAACCAGCCCAGTCAAACAAAGTCAACGGATCAGCTTCGGTCAACTTGGATCAACCGACTTCTTACAACCTTATCTCATCCCAAAGACCAACAATGATTACTGCCTTTTCTTGAAAGGAGAAAAACGGATAGCTCTTCTGCAAACCGACCAAACAATTGACAACACACCAAAATGAATAGTAAAAGAGGCCAATATATATTGGAGGTGGGTCTCGGTCCCAAAAGGGGGAGATAGAGAAAAAAAGGACAGAAAAACAGCAGCAAGCATTGACAAGAGAAAAAAGCAGTATTAGAAGATCAAAGAGGAGCAGCACCAAGGAGAAACTCGGCATAAACCCAGGCAGAAAGATCAAAAGGGGGCAGCAAGCAATCATATTCAAATCACAAAGGACCACACTTCACAGTTCCAGGTTAGTATCTCTCAGATCCAAAAACACCACATATTTAATCGTTTCACAAGAGTAAATCATTCATCTCTTCATGATAAACGTAACTGAAAGCATAAATGAATGTCCATGATAGATCTATAACCGATGCTCGTTAGGAAATCCAATCTAGCTTACATCAACATTTTCTCGTTTTAAACAAACTCATGTAAACATACCTTTACTAACCTGATCTACATATGCTTTGCTAACACATCTTAGTGATAATTTAGATGTGAATCACCTTTGTATTTTGCACTTATTATATATATATATGAGCCGTATTCCCTGTTATGATCTGTAATAAGTTAGTCCTAAAGATGAGTACGTCCCTCTAGTTCAAGCATAGTTGAATTCCCAACAAGAGAATCCATTGCCAATCCTCATGATAATAGCAAAAAAATAACAGACTCAGATTCATTACAAACTCTGTTTTAGGAGGCTATCATAGAAAAGACATTTTCTTTCGTTTTCTAGGGAACACCTCCAAATCCGATCATATCTTATAATAGAACCTTTTGTTTTAAAGACAAGGTCCTAAGTAGAGGCTATGTCTTTTTCTATCATCCTTAAAGTACAGTATAAGAATCAGGAACACAAACTTTCTACAATACAAAACATATGAAACCAACGCATACTACAATAGTTTCTTCAAATATGAAATCATTAGCAATGGCTAAGACTTTCAGTTAGCTTTGAATAGTTTTCAAGTTTATCAAACATTGGTTTTTCATTGGTAATCCTGATAAAACTTTTGCTAGATAAACCCCATCAAGAACAACTTTTTTTCTTTCATTCTAGAATCACAAGCAGAGGCTGTGATTTTCGGTTATCTAAAATTATTCAGAAATCACAAGCAGAGGCTGTGGTTTTTATCTATCTTAAAATCATTTCATAGTTAATAAACCCAGCAAAACAAACGATTTACTAAATTTGACCATAAAACACCAATGCAGCCCGCAGATTAAGAAATTGATTCCTAACTATTTAGGACCCAGAATCCGAATTTAATGAAAAACCCAGAACAAAAAAATTAAAGAGAAACTTACCGAAACCGAACCCCTGCCATCGGTTCTGGTGCAGGCCGGGCCGCTGCCGGTTTCCGTTTCTCCTCCCTTCCCTCGGTAGAGATCAGAATCCATAAAAAAAATACACAAAAAGAACAGATCAGAGTCCCTCTAGAATCAGAATCGAAGAGTAGAAATGGATAAACCGCAGTCCAAATTAATAAAACCCATCTAACCTAGGAAAATCGAAACAAATAAAGGAACTCACCGAAGGGCCAAATCGGTGTCACAGTTCTTGTCGCCGGCAGTAAAGGTTCGCCGCCCTTCTTTCCCTCTCGTCCGAAACCAACCTCATAAAATCCAAAATAAACACAAATCCAGATCAGAATCATAAATAAAACAAAAAATACCCTAAGAAGCCGACATGCAAGTTGACCCTACCTCGATCGATCGTCGCCGACGAGGTTCCGCCGCCATGCCCGTCGCCGTCACGGAGAGGCAGTGAATGGCGAGTGAGAAAGAAGAAGGCAGAACGAGAGAGAGAGAAGAGGGTTGTCTTCGGGTCGTTTCGCCGGCTGGAGGGGCGAGAAGGAAGAGAGTTTCGTCGTCGTTTTCCGGTGAATGGAATGAGAAAGAAGCAGAAAATTGAGAGAGGCGAGAGAGAGAAGAAGTCGCCGTTCTTTGGTTCTGGAAGAAGAGAGAGACTCGAGAGATGGGAAGGATCGAGAGAGAGGCGGCTGCTACAGCCGATTTAGGTTTAGGGTTTTTTTTTTAGAGACCTTTTATAGTAGGCGTTTGAAAAGGACTAGAATGCCCCTAGGGTTTATCGCCAATTCCTCAGCCCAGCCACCGCGTTTTTGAGAACTTACGAAAATACCCCTCCCCCGCCTCTGAATTAAAAACGACGGATCAAAAATGGTGTGGCTGGGTTTCGAACCCTCGTCACTCGAATTCAAGTACAGGTTTAGCAAGTTAACCAGTTGGGCTGTTGGTCCAACATGCTTAACTTTGACCATCCCGTTTACTTTTATTCGTTTAAAGTTCTTAATACGAAATGTTGTATGCGGATTAAGTTAGTTTTGCTTCTTTTTCTGATACATCGAATCTCTTCCTAATGTCCAAATTATTACTTTCACGTTAGCAACCTCATAATAATCTAAATGAAGTTTTATTAACAAAATTATAATACGAGAATTACGTTCAGTGGAACGTGGTGAAAAGGTCACAATTAAACTATCAAAGTCCAAACGAACTACGTGGACTTTGATCCCGTCTAACGGGTACGTAGGCAACCGATAAGGTTCGAGTCCAACTAACCAATTAACTTTTATCTTTGGATCGTACGTCAGTGGACGTATAATTAAATTACAAATAATACGTTAAAATTATTTAATGGTCCAGAGGGACCCAAAAATACACAATAATTATTAAAATACACCCAACACATATAAAACTTATCAACTTAAGCAGTACCGATTTAGGGCGTTGTGGGGTGTGATTTCACTTCCCCACACGTAACCGTACTCCCGAACCCATATCTCTTAATCGCAGACCATATCTTGGTTCTGACCTAAGGTTAGAGCCAACCGAAGAGTGTTCGATCCACTCCAAGTAAGATCGATGGCGACTCCCAAAAACAGCCGACGCGACGACATCGGACCCCCGGAGGGGACGGTTGCGACAACAGTGAGAGGCTGAGAAGGAGTACATGTCGAGAGTCCCATATGCTAGTGCAGTAGGTAGCTTGATGTACGCTATGGTATGCACTAGACCTGATCTTGCACATGCTGTTAGTGTTGTCAGCAGGTTTATGATACAACCTGGAAAGGAGCATTGGCAGGCTGTGAAGAGGATCTTCTGGTACCTTAAGGGTACACCTGATGTGGGGATTAGCTTCGGAAGTGATACAGAGTGCTTGGTGTCTGGGTATTCTGACTCGGACTATGCTTGGGATGTTGACACGAGAAGATCGATGACCGGTTATGTATTCACTCTTGGGAGTTCTGTAGTGAGCTGGAAGGCAACTCTGTAGTCGGCGGTGACATTGTCTACTACTGAGGCAGAGTATATGGCGTTGACAGAAGCGGCTAAGGAGGGAATATGGTTGAAGGGACTGGTTGGTGATCTTGGTCTACATCATGATCAAGCAGTGGTGTATTGCGACAGTCTGAGTGCAATATGCTTGGCCAAGGATCAAGTCCACCATGAGAGGACTAAGCACATCGACGTGAGGTATCATTTCTTGAGGACAGAAAAGAGGATTAAGGTGAAGAAGGTTGACACCGCGGATAATCCTGCTGATATGTTCATGAAGCCGGTTCCACATGGCAAGTTCCAACACTGCTTGGACTTGCTGAATGTCTTGAGTGGGTGACTCCGCCCTACGGGGCATTGATGGAGAGAGAGAGAGAGAGAGAGAGAGAGAGAGAGAGAGAGAGAGAGAGAGAAGGAGCAGAGTACATCAGAGATTTCAGAGGAAGAGGATTCAAGTCAAGGTGGAGATTTGTTGATGTGACTTGAATCGGACTATCAGCCGCTACGACTGGTAATCGGGGGTCTCAATGTTATTTGGGTTCGGGTTCTGGGCCTGGTCTGTAACCGTTTCCTTTGTCAGATTGGATTAGGTTTAGACCCACATGGAGAAGTACTATAAATACTTCTCATACTCCTCTGTAATCTGTAATATCCTCGATATAGTGAAACTGGCTCTCTCTCGCCCGTGGACTAGCTAACACACATCGTGTTAGTGAACCACGTAAATCGTGTGTCTGTGTTCTTTCGATTCTCGCTCTCGTATTCTTGCTTTATCGATTCCGGCAATTTCCCGATCCGTAGCAGCGCGTTTATAACATGCTGCATTTGGAACTTAGACGAAGAGGGAGAGAGGAGTGGGTAGGAAAGATGGAGATTGGTAGGGCACAAAAAGGTCATTTAATTTGGGTTTTCGAAATCGAAACCCACGACCTTGTGGAAGTCTGGCAAAAATTGTTAACTTCCACCGAATGAAGCAGATGCAAGCTTGGGTATTGCAAAGGGAGACAAAGGTGGGTACTGGCCTACTGGGTAAGGGCTATATGATGATTTTCTCAAAGTACAGGGCATGTTTGACGTAAAAAATCGTAGAGGGTCATGTTTGATAAAACGCCATAATAAAGGGCATATTATATTTATAACCCTAATCTCTAGGATTGTTCTTACCCTAGGTTATATGTGGGGAATTTTATTTGGTGTTAACGATTCCTCGTTAAGCTCAATGTATATTTGTGTTATGATGCATATACTTAATTGGGGTTAATTGCATGATTGGTCACTGAAATTACAAAAAACGTTCATGTTTGGTAACTGAAAATATTTAAATCCAATCTTGGTCACTCAAATTATTTAAATGGTTCAAGTTTGGTCACTCTCCGTCCAAATCCGTTAACTCTAGCTTACGTGGCAGTCAACTTTCATAGTTGACCGTTAAATAAGTGACATATCAATTAAAAAATTATTAAAAAAATATTTTTTTTTATAATTTTCACCTCAATATTACATTCATTAAAAATTAGAAATTAAAAAAAAAAAAAACGTAATTTCTTTTCTACACACTCCAATACCCTACCCGACCCAACCTCACCACCACCAGAACACAACCTCCGGCGGCGGCATTACTTCCGTTCGCCCGCAGCAAGCGATCCTCCACTCCGGCGTCCGGCTACTATTTCAACCGCCGCCACATCTAGATACTTCTAATCAATTATAAGCTTCGGCGACTCCCTCTCTACGGCAACAACTCATATCGAGGGCAACCTCTAAGAAGCCAGCCGTCATCCGGATCGAGTTTCGGGTGAGGACTGAGGAGTTGAAGAAAGGGGAAGGAGGGAACGGGGAAATCTGGTGCGTCGGCCCCGTTTCCCTAGCTAGCCAGCGGCGCCCAATTGGACAGAGGCGGAAGCGGAGGAGAAGATTCTTCAATCATCGATTGGCTCAATTTGATGGATAACCGTTCGACGATCTATGTCTGCTTCGGATCTACGTTTAATCCGATGTCGGATCTGTTGATCGAGCTAAGGTTAGGGGGAGGTTGTGTTCTGGTTGCTTAGCTTGTGTCCACCCGGCAGAAGCAAGTGTCTGTAGAGAAAAACGGGAGAAAAGAAGATCCAAATTAATATATGCATCCCGTTAACAAGCTCCAGTCGATAGAAAGCCCAAACAAACACTTACTCTCCTTGTTTGTTCTAACGAGTGAGAGAACAGAAAGGTCAGCGATGGCGCTGACGCCGCCAACCTTGGCTCCTCTCCTAGTTACTTCCTCTTGCGGCACCGGCTCTGGGCTTCGATTCGGCTTCTCCTCCGTATTCCTTTTCCCCGTCATTTTCTTCTTCGATCGAGTGAGAGGACGGGGGAGAACCGTTCCGATTCACCGTCTTGAATTCTAGGGTTTTAGGAGGATATAGGCGGAACTCGGAGCTCACTGATTTGTGGTTTTCGTTTTTGGTGCGGTTGCGGCTGAGAGTTACGGGAAGCTCTCGGTACTGATTTCCATCTCCGCAGTCTTTCCTCTCCTCTCCCGCGGGCTGGAGGTTGTGTTCTTGCCGTTCTGGTGGTAGTGAGGTTGGGTCGGGTATGGGGTGTGTAGAAAAAATATTAGGTTTTTTTTATGAATGTAATAATGAGGTGGAAATTATAAAAGTTTTTATTTTTATTTTTTTAATAATTTTTAATTGTCATGTCATGTATTTAACGGTCAACTATGAAAGTTGACTGCCACGTAAGTTAGAGTTAACGGAAATAGATGGAGAGTGACCAAACTTGAACCATTTAACTAATTTGAGTGACCAAAATTGGATTTAAATATGTTCAGTGAGCAAACATGAACGTTTTTCGTAATCTCAATGACCAACCATGCAATTAACCCTACTTAATTGAATATGATTTATAGGGGTGGACCTACCTTATATCTGAGGTGGGCCCTGGCCCCTCAAAATGGTCTCGGCCATGAGATTTTAAGAATATTTAGTAAAAAATTTAAGTAAGAATCGACCAGACACAATACCATAAGATGTCATTGTAGTCTGACGGTAAGCAAATTTGGCTTTTATATTTGAGGATTTGGGATCAAATCCCAACTATTTGAACTTTAAAATAGTTATATACCCTAAATATGTATTAACTTAACGAATACTTTTAAACTAATTATAAATTTTCTTTTCCGATCCACCCGGTCCTGAAATTATGGCTACGCCCTGATAATTTATGAATATGTTTTTTGTTTTTTTAGAAGAATATGTTTATTGTTGATCGTGATCATCAACACATTTCTCAAAAAATTCGTACTAGTTTAGGCTCTCTTATTCTCGTCATTAATACAAGTTATGTTGAGGTTGGTGTTCATGGGGAAGAAATTTAATACAAGTTATGTTGAGGTTGGTGTTCATGGGGAAGAAATGCACCCCATAGAGGAGCTGAGTGGTTCTACTCAAACGGGAGAGTTTACATTCCCAATATTTAGTGATTCACAACACCTCCCTGAGTTGGTCATCAATTCTGGCTACGCCCTGATAATTTATGAATATGTTTTTTGTTTTTTTAGAAGAATATGTTTATTGTTGATTGTGATCATCAACACATTTCTAAAAGAATTCGTACTAGTTTAGACTCTCTTATTCTCAGTCAGGATTTCATAATTGTAATATGAAAGTTTTCTGTCATGGAGTCCAAGTCCTTAATCCAATATGAGATTGTTTTAGCCAAAGAGAGCGAACGTTGAGTCACAAAGAGATTAAGTAGGAATATCTAGCCATAAAGTCTGCAAAGACTGCAAATGGTTGGTCGTTTGGTTGGTAGCTAAACTACTTAGAACAACTACTATAGAAACGAGGCAGATTTAAGGATAGCTACAGCTGTGTATTGCTGAGCATGTTTTGTCATTTCGATTAGTATTGCATCAACTGACATAGCCTTCATCCCTTTCTACATGAACCGTGTTCAGTTTCGGTAGCCTAATCCTGGCATTGGCTCCTAGTTTGAATCGTGGAGCAGGGTCAGAAGCTGCCTCCTACAAATGCGCTTTCTATCTTGTTTTCCAGCGGTGATTGAAGCATACCTACGGGAAAATTTGTTAACAGTTCTTCATGTTACCTGTCTCTTTTATTTATTGATGTGGACTACTAATGATTTTCTGTTTCATTTTGTGGGAGGAGATGCAGACTGGAGCGACATTGATAATTTTCTCTTTTATTTTGCTAGACTTACTGGTGATTGCATAGCCTTTTTACTTTTCCTTGAATCTGGCCTTTGAGTTTCGAACATGATGAAGCATCAACACTACTTATGACTTCCCATATTTCAGGTACAAACTATTGAAGTTGGTTGACCAGCTCCACAACCATGGTCCGTATCACTCAATTTTCTCAAGGTAACTTCCCAGGAAACTAACAATTCCAACTCGTAAATTTTTGTTGTTCTATTTCAGTTAAGTGTTTGCACATATTTGTCACCTTATCCAGTTCATCTAACGTGTGGATACATGTTAGAAACCGATTTCTGTAGGGTTTCTCTATTTATTGATATAATTATTATTAGGGTAATTATCAACAAGGTTAGTAGTCATTTAATAGAATTAGGTTTATTCTTAGGGTTTTCTAGTATTTCCCTATATATATGTACTTTGGGTCATTCGTCAGATTAAGCAGAAATTAATAGAAAAGTCCTCCTTCCCCAAATCCCTAATCCCTTTTTCTCAAATCTCGTCTATCCTTCTCCCTAGAGGCTTCGGCCGTTCTTTCTATTCTTCCCCAAATTCTCCTCAAATCCCTAAATCCCCAATTCTATCCTATAAACCCTAAATTCCCAATCTCTAGATCTGATTTAGAAACACGTTAGAAACTTTGTTTCTAACATCTGGTATCAGAGCCATGGTCGAAAAACTGAATTTGCCACAACTCTCAACCGGGGACGAACAGATATATGAAGACTTCAAACCTGACAGCATGAGGATAGAGCTACGACATAGCGTTGTCTTGTTCTTCACCTTGCCTGGATTCGAAGAGGATCACGTAGATGTGCAGGTGGTTGGATCGGATGTGCTAGCAATAACGGGACAACGACTGTTGGCTGATGGTCACCGGTGGTTACGATTCAAAAAGCAAATCAAATTCAGAGCAATCCACGACATCAAATGGTATCGTACTAAGTTTGGGGAAACTGATTTCATCCTTCAGATCCCAAAAATCATCACACCTCCTGTTCACGACGAAGAGGCAGCAACCGAAGTCCCACCACAGGTTGAGGAGACGCCGGCAAACCTCGAAGCACCACCACAGCCGCGTGTCAGTATTGAACCACCAGCCAAGGAGATGAACGAGGAAGGAGAACCAACGGAGCTAGCCAAATCACAGGCTTTGCTGGCCGATGCAAAGAAGATTGTTGAGGTTCACCCGCTATCATCACCAACAGGCACAGCCGACTCTGTCGCAAGCATGGGGACCGCAATCGCGCCGACCATTGCTGTTGCAGCTTCAAAGACCACAATCTCCTCAGTAGAGGTGGGAAGGTCGACCGCTGAGGATCTCAGAGAGCCCGAATCCCCATTCAACAATTTAATGAAGAATAATGGCAGGGCTAATTGGAAAGACAGGAAGAAGAAGCCGAATTCGTCAACCGACGAGGATGAAGCGCCGCAGCCGTCGAAAGATCCGTTCGTGGCGATGACGGACGAGGTGATGAACCAGGAGTCTAGGGCGGAGGTGGATTGGCCTTCCGCCCGCGTGATGAGCAGCTCGTCGCCGCAGGGAAAGGAGGATGACGGCGGCAGGACCCTCTTCTCGCCGAGGAAGAAAAAGAGAAAGAAGGGAGGCGGCGGTGAGTTTCCTCCCTCGCCGCCGGAGAGAGAGAAGATGAAGGGTGGCAACGTCTTTCCTTCTCGCACTGTTCGAGGATCCAGCGTGATAATCCGGTCGCCGATTGAGAAGGGAGAAGAGGCGCCACGGTCACAGTCGTCGGCAGTTCCAGTCGCGGCAACGATGGCGGAGCGAAGGACCGGCGCGGCAGACGACGAGCCAGAGAAGGAACGCAAAGCGAAGTTGGAACCGGGATCGGGATTGCCACCTAGCTGTCAGGTGAGTCGTTCATCGCCGGAGTTGAGGCTATTCGCTGTGGCGGTCGACGGAGGAGAAACAAAAGGGAGGGCGAAGCTGGTGGAGTAATCATCCCCGGAGACGAAATCAAGAGCTGAGCTACTGGTGGAAGACTCGCCGACGGACTGGAAGATGACGCTAGGAGTCAGAATCGACCGCCGACGCAAGGCGGAGGCGGAGTCGAGCCACCGCTCGGGTTGCTCGGTGACAGGGAGAAAGAAGCTCGCGACGAGCAAGGGAAGGGTGAAGAGCGGCAATTCCTCTCTGCTCACAAACCCTAGGACTGCTTCCTTGGGCCGTGAAGCACTTCTAAGCAGAAGTGGTCGTGGGCCTCACTGGTCAGTCGGGCTCGACTTGACTGGGCCTCACAAGCCGAGCGGGCCCAAAGCAGGCCGGCAAACTGGGCTTTCCTGGGGCCGAAGGGATCAGGAGGACATGCCAAGGTTTTGGGTTAGATGGTTTAAGCAAAAGCTTGTTCGTGGGCCAAATGACAAGGGAACCGGCTGGGTTCTTGGTAAGGCTAGGCTGAGTTTTCATGTGGACTGTTTTATTGGACCCATTTTGCAGGGAGATAATTTAAAGAGAGAAGGAAATGGGCTTAAGAGAAGGCATGACCCAATGCAGATTGAAGAAACCATTGACCAAGCCAGTGGGCTAGCACCAGGAAAACTTTTCGAGGGCCTTGATGAAATGGTACTCAAGGATGTGTTCTTGAACAAGAGCGAATTCTTGAGTCCCTTGCGTTGCTGGATGGCAATGATATCGAAAGAGGCGTTGGGGAGGTTTGAATTCGTTAAGGACGCAAGGATGTGGCTATCATTGATGAAATTCACAATTTTGGAGCAATACCAGGAGATAGAAGAAAGAAGGCCAAGTCAAGTGGTGGAGCACGATTGGAAGGGAAGGAAGCGCAAGAAATGGAGGAGTCAACGTGTGGATGGCACGGGAAGGGGAAAAGATTGGGTAAAGTGGTTCAACCTTGAGGGCAAGGTTGGTCTGAAGGGGGAGGAGATGTTAGAAACCGATTTCTGTAGGGTTTCTCTATTTATTAATATAATTATTATTAGGGTAATTATCAACAAGGTTAGTAGTCATTTAATAGAATTAGGTTTATTCTTAGGGTTTTCTAGTATTTCCCTATATATATGTACTTTGGGTCATTCGTCAGATTAAGCAGAAATTAATAGAAAAGTCCTCCTTCCCCAAATCACTAATCTCTTTCTCTCAAATCTCGTCTATCCTTCTTCCTAGAGGCTTCGGCCGTTCTTTCTATTCTTCCCCAAATTCTCCTCAAATCCCTAAATCCCCAATTCTATCCTATAAACCCTAAATTCCCAATCTCTAGATCTGATTTAGAAACACGTTAGAAACTTTGTTTCTAACAATACAACATAATGAAGTGTGAGGAATCATTGCATAAATTATCGCCTGAAGTTAGACTAAAGGATCCAAGTGCCTAAGCTGTTGTATCTCATTTGTCGCCCATCATTCTTTTTCATGGAACTGCAGATAGATCAATGTCATCATGCACGAGGTCAGAGAGGCTTTACTTTCTTTTGCAGGTGATGTGCTCTTTTCATATAGATGGAATTTGTTTCAGGAATGAACTTGTTGATGGATGGTCTTGTGAACTGGCTGCTAAGTTATCTCAACTTTCAGTATACTTCTATAATGCAGGGTCTGATAGAACCTGTTGCTAAGAATCTATCGGTCGGGTTGTGGAATTGGGATTTAGGGATTGAAGAACAAAATTAGAGATTTGAGAAGAGAAAGATAGAGCATCAGCTTAAGCCTTTAGAGAGTTGAGATCGAGAATTGAGAGGATTGGGAGATTAGGGTTTAGGAGAGTTTTTCTTAATATTCTTCTTGATTGATTCTGAATAAAACGCAAAATACATATTTATAACTAAAGACCGGAAAACCTAATAGACTATCCACTCAAATACTTCTAACCATATCTAATAAAATCCTAAGAAATACTATAAATGATAATATGATAGATCACGAAGAATCGGGTTTCTATTAGGGTCTTAAACCCATTGTGCTTACTGCTTCTGCAGGGTCTTCACGGAGGATAACCTTGTATGCTTACTGGATAGAGGAGAGAGGACTGCTTGTAAGGAATTTGATAGTCAATTGAGTTTGGTCACTTGTTCTGATGATGGTCTGGTCACTAGCCCCTGAAGATCAATACATGGCTTTGAATAACCCGGCCCAATTGAGTCATGGATGGGCATCTCATGTTATGGATCTACTGTTATCCTCCTGTAATTCCCCTTCTCATTGCCCTTTTCTAATTGACTTCAAATACATTTGTTCACATTTTAGAGCAGCGTCTGTTTCTTGCTGTTCTTGCTATATATTCACTATTGCAGTAAGCTTCAGGGTTTGAACTTGAGTGGATACATGGGGAGCCTGTTACATTTGCTCCATGAGTTGAGAAAACTGTGAGTTAACTCTTCTTAACTTGAGTTCAGATTATGGAACTACCTCTCATTGATCTTTTCTGCACTCTGGTCATCCTTCTATTCTTAGGGATCTTAGCTCCAATAACATCCCTAGTGAAATTCCTTACAGCCTACCCATTATTGTCACCCACTTGTGAGTTTTTCATTTCTCGTATCCTCTGGATTCGAATTAGTACATGTTTGAGTGCTTGAGACTCCTTTTGATGTTTTACTTTATGGCTTATGCAGAAACTTTTTTTTTTTTTTGACAACCTGATTTCATTAAGAAAAAGGGGAAGTGATACAGAGTTTGGACTAGGTCCAGGAAAGAAAGAGAGCATAGCCCAAAGAAAAATGAAGAGCCCAAAAAGAAAAACAGCAACCGAAAAAAAACAAACAAAAAAAATAAATCCACAACCCAAACAAAGGGAAAATCCAACAACACCAGCCCAAAGCACCAACACACGGGAAAAAGCCCAAAACCCAACCAAAAGCAAAAGAACAAAAAACACACATGGGCTCAACATCTAACCCTAGCCCACAGCCGCCTAGCATCACCAATCCGCCATCCTCCATCCTGTTTCTGCCCCTGCCAACCATCCCAAAGCCACAACCAGAACACCAACCACACACCACTTCGAAAACCAAACCACCACCGCAACCACCAACTCCAAACGAACCAAACACACCAAGGAACACGATGAGGCAGTAAACAAGAGACAAAAGACCAAGCCAAACACCTGCCAAAGCCGCCACACACCCACACCTGCCAACAACGCCATGAAAACACCACCCACGCATCCGTCGCAGCCAGGAAGAGAACAAGGGAAGCAAGACCAGCGAAAGATGACACCATCCCTACATCCACACCACGAGACAATAGAACCACAGGCATCAAGCCTAATACGCCATTCTGAGTGAAGCAAGGAGGAAGGCTCCAATAGTCAAGAAGGAGGATGTAGATTGCAAAGCAATCCCCTCTGTCCACAAGAGCCGACTTCAAGATCTTTTCACAGATCTGAAGTGTGGAGAAAAAACCATCTCAGAAGAGGGGTTTTTGGAAAATTCCACAAGGGAATGAAGCAAAGATGGAAATGGAAAAATCCACATAGGGATTGGCCAAATGAAAGCAGAAAAAATGGAAATCGCAAGGAAAAGAGAGGGTTGGGTCGCCGCCGGTCACCAAATGGTAAACCGGCGGCACCCCCAATGAAAGCTGGAAGAGGAAACTAGAGAGAAGTCAGAGCTTTTGAAAAATAGAGAGAGAAGTTGATGGTTAGTAACTCCCTCTTATGCAGAAACTTAGCATGCAACAACTTAGCAGAATATACCTCAATCTTTGCCCAATATTAAACTAGTCGAAAATCAAGTAGCAGGCTGGCAGTCTAGATGGTTAACTTGTCAAATAATTATATTTCACCAAAATCTTAGACTCCTCAGAAATCTGCAACTTTCCTATCATCAAAAGTTTCTTCACTTGTTAGTAAATCGAAAAGTTTGGGTATCGTCTCTCAGGGACTGATACAACTTTATATTCTATCAATTTTATAAAGCAAACTATAGGTGAAAATAGTTTAATGAGACTAATTTCTAAAAGCAAAATAAAATAAACAAAGTAACTAAATTAAAACTGTCGGGAGAAATCAACGGAGAAAGCTCTGGAATAAACACTGGAATTCACTACCTATCATATCCAAATTAATTCACATATTCCAATCAGTTTAATCAATATCTCTACAGCCAGGATATCACGAATGTGCTAGCTATCCCTGTCGGGAATTACTACGTACTAAACAATTAAATCAAATCCTACTGTCGTAGCTCAATGACTTAATTATTTAGCCTGAAGATCGATATCCTATTTAAGACCGCATAGCACCTTATTTAATCCACTGTCGCTTCGATAAGTTACTATGTCACATGAACTATGTTCAGTTATTAGGGTTTCACTGTCGCTAATAACCTAATTAACAACAAATCAATGTATTGGTAGCCAGTCAACACAAAGCATAATAAGTAATTTCATGCAATAGAGATTGGAAGAAAAGATATATGAATCAATCCATCAAATATAGAAATAGCTACATCCTATGGTATTTCCCCCAGAAATTGGAGTTTAGTTTATGACGAAAGTAAAGCACACAATTATGTTTATAATCATCATCGTATCAATTAAAATTAAAGGAAAAATACTTAGATTCTCGAACGTAATCCTGGTACCAATTCCTTCTCGCTTCAATCGCGTGTTGCTTGCTCCGCGCGTCCCCAAACTTCCGCTGCGCCCTCTGCCTTTTTCTTCCCCAAAAGAAATTCTCTTGCCTCCCAGAATTTCGCCTCCAGAGAATTTTTTCCCGTCCAAAAAAGAGCCACCAAATAATAGTCCCCCCTATAATTCCCAGCCGCCTCCACTAATAATCTCTGGCACCCAAAAATCCTTGCGTCCTCTCTTTTTCCTCAAGGCCGCCAGCCTTGTGTCCAATTCAGTTGGGCCTTCCGCCCAACAATTCCTCCGCCCAAATCCTCCATCATCCTCCCACAATACCATTTCCGGCCCATTTAGGCCCACTGCTCCTCCTAGTCCAAGTGAGTATTCCACTAGTGATTCGAGCCCGATTGATTGCTTGTGCACTCTCTTCTTTTTCGTGCTTTCTCCACCTGTGACATATCAAACTCATGGCACTAGGCAGTAATGGTTTTTCAACCATTCCCGGGTTAGCGAGCCCTAAAATAGCACCAATTGGCTTTAATATATCATGGGATTGTCACATAAAGTTCAAGAATCCGATATATTAAAGTCGATTATCACAACCTCACACTCAATTGTTGCTTGTCCCTAAGCAACGACTCAAAAGACACAAACATATAACCATCCATAACAATGACACACCACAGACTCAACAATCAAACACTCAAAACAAAACAAAATTTTCCTTGTACTCTTTTTGTAATCAGTAGTTTCTTTCTCAACGGACAAGTTGTGCTTTAATGATCATACCTTTCACCCCACACTCAAGGTCTTGCAACCATTTAACCATTGACTGACTCAAATCCACCAAAAACTCAAATAGCCACACTCAATTTCGATCGTCGGTAGTGGGGGATTAACAACTTATGGTGCAACAGTTATTAGGAGAATCTAACCACATCAGTGAGGTGCATATCTCGTGAGGACAATCTGGCTTACTCACACCAATCATAAGTAATTAACAAAGCATGAGTCTCAAAAAAATAATGGGGGAAGCCTTTCGCAAACATGATTTTAACTTTAAGCACATCACTACCTTTTATGACAAGGAGATGCTTTCTCTCTTTCTGATTTTGCTTGCCGAGTAGTTGTACTTAGTACAAGTGGGATTTGTTTCTTACTACCGGTGACCGAGCAAGAGCAATTTCTGCTTCTTAGCACTCGCATAAGGGCTTCTTTCAACTCCTTTTCCTCGGTCCGTGTGGAGGGTCACTGCACATCCTCAAATGGCACTTCACTCAACGGGGGATCGTACTTGATAAGCAACATCTTACGGTCGCGAACCGATGCTCAGTTGAACCTTTCCTAATCCCCCTGTGCAATGAGTGATTGCCTCACACGATTTTGGCATTTTACCCACACTTTAATTGTTATGGCAACTTTCTTATATTATACTTGTCAGGTAGGATTTTTTTTTATAAAGATACAGTTCACCCCATCATAAAATAATCAAAACAGAGAGACTCATTGCAAAATCAAAAGCTCACAATTGATGCAAATAAGCACGGTATCCAAACATGTCGAATGGTCAATGTTCTCCACCTAACCACTTCACCATAAGTCATTACACTATCCTCCCAAAAGAGAATGTTGATAAAAGAGTTTGCTCATCCAAAGCACATCAAGTCAGTCAAAACATTAAGCTCATTGTGAAGAACTTTGCAATTCAACACTAGTTGGGCGATTTTGATGATTTCCTTCAAGCACAAACTCATTTCACACGCATCACGGTCATTTACATCATGTTATCACAAGAGTACAAGGTTTTGTTTTTAATTTTTCTCATTTTAGGTGTTTTTTTTAGCCATTAGGTTAGCACATGCAGACTGCACTAGCACAGGTAGACTGCATGCAGTTTGACTGTGCATAGCCCAAATAACAGTTTTTATTTTTATTTTTTTACCACATGCAATAGGAACAAACAAACACTAAGACTCACCACCCCACACTCAGGATGGAACAATGTTCCTAATGTTCAACTCCTAATCTAAACATGCACGGGTTTGACACAACTAAAAAGAAAAATAAAGAAAAGAAAACTTACCTTGGGTTGCCTCCCAAGAAGCGCTTGTTTAACGTCATCAGCCTAACGTTCATGGAGCTTTCAACCAATGGGTATGTAAAGGTATCCAGAATACCCTCCCGAGCAATGATAGAACGCATAACCTCCATCCAACATATGAGTCACCTCTGCAGGGCCAGGTGTGCGAAAATTTGGTGGGACCTTCTTAGTTGGCATATTGGATCCTTTAGTGAGGCGTAGGTGGTACTGAAGCGCCTCAAGCAAGTACTCTTCTTGTTTCAATGTCAGTGAAGAAAGAATAATAACAGGAAGATTGAAATCCTTACCCAAATATCTATACTTGAGGTGATCTGGCAAGGATTTCTGTCCTTGCTTTGATTTCAGAATCTGAGCAGATAGGACATGTGATAGTTGTTCAGGTTGTCCACTATCACAGGAGAAGGGATTTTTCCTTTCTCGAGCTCCACTTTCAAAGTCATCAAATGCATCGTGATTATGATCAACTTGAATGACATTAAAAATTTCCTCCTCCTTACCTACTCGGAATGTCAGTTTGCCTCTCCCAACATCGATGAGTGCATCTCCAGTTGCTAGAAAAGGTCTACCAAGAATGAGAGGCACTCCCCGATCTTCTTCCATCTCCAGAATCACAAAATCTGTTGGGAGAATAAACTTCCCCACCTTCACCAATACATTCTCCACCACTCCCCTTGGAATTTTTACTGATCGATTGGCCAATTGGAGAGTGATCCGAGTAGGCTTAAGAACATCTCCCAATCCCAATTTCTTGTAGACTGAGTATGGCATCAAATTAATTCCTGCTCCAAGATCACAAAGTGATTTATCGAACTCTGTACCTTCAATGACACATGGAATGGTAAAACTGCCCGGATCATCCCTCTTTACTGGTAATTTATTCTGAATCACAACA